AACAACAGCGAAACTCTGTCTCAAAAAAAAAAAAAAATTAGCCAGGTGTGGCAGCGCATTTCTGTAATCCCAGCTACTAGGGAGGCTGAGGCAGGAGAATTGCTTGAATCTGGGAGCCAAAGGTTGCAGTGAGCCAAGATTACGCATCACACTCCAGCCTGAGCAACAAGAGTGAAACTGTGTCTCAAAAAAAAAAAATTAGCTGGGCATGGTGGTGGGCACCCATCATCCCAGGTACTTGGGAGGCTGAGGAAGGAGAATCCCTGGAACCTGGGAGGTAGAAGCTGCAGTGAGCCGAGATCACACCACTGCACTCCAGCCTGGGTGACAAGAGCAAAACTCTACCTCAAAAAAAAAAAAAAAATGCATATTGAATTTCTAGAATTTTCTATTCATACCCCAATGGATAATTCTGCACTCAACTGAACTTGAAACAAATATTCTAAGCTGGTAGTCAGCACTTAAAATGGTGATCCTAGACTGGTGATCCTAGAAGTAATTCAGGCATTTACACGCTCTCTGTCACATGCTGGCACACCACTGATTTATCAGGACCCTAGGCAGGCTTCAAATTTGTGCCATGTCTATGATTGAGCAAAATAGAGTTTAAAAAAAAAAGACACTCGCTGTGTTTTATTTCCTGTGTCATGATATACACCCCAACATATTTTCTCCTTTACGTCCATTTCTGGCATGCCCTGTTGTTACAGGAGTGATGAGTCACAGTTAGGGGGAATTGTAATAACTTGTTCCATCTCCTAGTATAAGCCAAACCATGGACAATCTTGGGTTCTCAAGGGGTTATTTATCTTGGAGGTGGGGGGTACTGATCACAATCTGTATGACCACATGGCACAGATGTTTAATTATGAAGGTGACCTCAAGTAAAGCAAGTAATTTCTTGGTCTGACTATATCAAAAGTCAGCCAAATGTCCACCCAGTGGGCAAGCTCGGCTCCAGAAAAAATTATAACTGGAATGACAAGAAGTTTGATGGATCAGGATTGGAATAAACGGACAGACTTGAGTGAGAGGTCTGGAGCCAGACAAATGGGTGTGTGCTAGATGACAAGATGGGAAGTCTGGGCAAAATTACAAAGGGACAGGACACGTCAAAGCACCACTTGTATGCTTCTCTGGGCCCAAGCTTTTTTCATTTCCTCACTATGAACACTGCATCTGCAATTGAATATACATCTAGAGAATCAGTTACTCTTATAGCGCCTACTGCTCATGGCCAGAGCCAGCCTTCAGCAAACCTGATGGAAAATGCTGAGACCTTTCAGCCCTTTTCCTCCTTCCATTGGACTCTTCCATTCAGGTATTTATCTCAATCACATCTTAATGTCTCCCTTTAGTTTAGTGGTTTTCAAAGTGTGAAACCAGTGGCATCAGTATCACCTGAGCATTTGTCGGAAATACTCATTTCCAGGCCCCAGACCAGGCTGACTGATTCAGGAACTTCAGGCGCCCAGCCCAGCAATCTGCATTCTCTCAGACCCTCCAGGTGATCCGATGCACACTAACGTTTGAGAACCTCTGCTTCAGAGGATATAAAATAACAACTTCAAGATGAGAGAGCACGTACATTTTAGGAGAGAACTTGTGAAGAAGGCAAGCCGCTCAAGAGCCAAATAAATCAGTTTCTAGTCGTGGAATCTGAAGTCATGTGACACATGGTGAGAGAGAGATTAGAGGCCGCTGTATTTGCCCTGCCCTCATCACCTCTTGCTTTTTCTCACCTATTTCAATCTTCTCTCCACATGGCCACTAGAGACATGTGTTGAGCCAGAAAATCTGACCCTGTCAAAGCCCAACTCAAAACTCTTCAGTGGCTGCTCCCTGCCATGAGATAAAGTCCCAATCCCCTAGCACGCGACCCAGGGCCTTTCAACATCTGCCGCTGGGCCACCTCCTGACCTTGTTTCCTTCAGCACTTTTCCTCCTGCTCAGCCATACCTCGCTGTCTGTAGCTGGTTTAGACTTCCCCATACCACTGACAGCAGGCTTTGCCATGTGAGTTACCTTGACCAACAGCATGAGAGATGAAGTGACGGCTGCTATTTCTGAGCAGACTTTAGGTGCCAGAGTTTTGTTCTATCATGTCCTTTTTCCTTTTGCCATAAATAAGATCCACATTGTCCCAGAGAGAGGGTGTTTCTTAAGCCTCAGTGGGTCCCAGAATGATGACAAATGAAGGGGAGAACAATCACCGACTTACACTGTACATACAGCATGAGAGAGAAATAAATCTTGGTTGTTGTAAATTACTGAGATTTGGGGGTTACTTGCTATTTACCGTAAGCTGACTGTATTAGTACTTTTGATCACTTCTCTCATTCTGTAATGTCTTCCCTTCTTTGCTCTGCCTTCTTTCCAATCCCACCTCACCCCTGACTGCACAAGAGACTTGCTCATCATTCTATACTCAGCTCAAGTGTTACCCCTCAATCAAGCTTTTTGTCTTCCCCAGGTATAACTTTTAAGATCTTCTCTGGATGCTACAGACCTGTAACCATGTCGCTGGAACTGTGCCAGGGCTTCTCCATTCATTACTATTATCCTTAGAACAACCTCTAAGAAAAAATAACAATGAAATTAAAAATTGAACAATTCATTTTATAAAGCAGAAGCCTGGCTTGGAAAAACAAAGCGACTTGTGGAAGTTTCCCAGAGTCAGCCACAGTCTGAGATCTCACCAGGTGGGGGTCTGGCTCTGAACTCAGGAATCTTTGCCCTGCCCAACACTCTCTTACTCTCCCTTAGCAGCAAGCTTCAGATCCTCCCACTCCACTGGGGAGAGTAAAAGTCCCCTTATCAACAACTGAAAGGGCTGCCATGCTAATTTGAGACTTGAAAGATTGCATCTGGAAGTTGGCTTCTTACCCCCGAGAAGATAAGCATTTCCTCTAAGCCAATGTATTCATTCCAAGGCTCCTGGCAAAAGCACAGGAGACTCTACAATAACTGGGGTATTTTATTTGCGTCTTTCCCCAGGTCCTAGCCTGTGGGTTGGGGGGTAGCAGGTAGTATGGAGTGGTAAAACAGATTCCCACTGACATAACCCTAGAGAAGCTTTGAGAAGGTTTTTCGGGATTCGTCACAGGGTAGGAGGCAAGTGAGCAGAGGGTTCAAAACTCTGAGTAGGTCTCTACATGTCGATATTTTAAGGTTTGTTTTTTTTTTCTTTTTTTGAGACGGAGTTTCCCTCTCGTTGCCCAGGCTGGAATGCAATGGTGTGATCTCAGCTCACCGCAACCTCTGTCTCCTAGGTTCAAGTGAATCTCCTGCATCAGCCTCCCATGTAGCTGGGATTACAGCATACACCACCACACCCAGCTAATTTTGTATTGTTAGTAGAGACAGGGTTTCTTCATTGTTGGTCAGGCTGGTCTCGAACTCCTTACCTCAAGTGATCCACCCACCTTGGCCTCCCAAAGTGCTGGGATTACAGGCATGAGCCACTGCATCTGACCAATATTTTACGTTTTAAAAATAAAAATAAAAGGGGCCAATTATGTGATTCTTCAGATTAACCAAGAAAAGAAAAGTGACATAGTGACAAAGAATTAAACCAGATCACCCAGGTCAGGCATAGGAAAAAAACACCTAAAAGTAGCAACTGCAATTTTAGGTTTCTATGAGCCACTGACATTTTTGTTGTGTGGTTGAGTTTTTCCTCTCTCTCTCTTTCTCCCTGCCTCTCTTTTTAATTTTACTTTTTTGTTTAAGAGAGGAGTAAAAAGCATAAAAACCTTCAAATACTACCCCCAAATCAGCCATGCTAATGAAAGGTGAATATTTAACAAACTACCATGATATTATTTTCACACGATATTTATACCAATTTTTTCAAGGGTCACAAAGCTTTTCTCAGTTGCTAGTTGGAATACATTGATTTCTCTAACCATCCCAATGAATCAGGTTTTTATTGCCCCACCAAAAGGATATGTTACCTTTAAAAGATACCATCAGTATCATTAATAATAGCATTTTTTCCTTTCAAGTGTAGAAAGCTGTTCAGAGCTGCAAATGGTTGCTAGGCCAGTTTGGACACGTCTGATTTACTCTTTAAAAGGCCGTTCACTCCGTATAATAAATAATAAGAACCAGTATTTATTAAGTGCTTAGCGCTGAAAAACCGGTGTTTTTCAGGCATTGGCTCGTATGATCCTCAAAACAACGCTATCAGGCCGGTGCAATCATGATCGCCACCTTACAGATCAGAAGAGGGAGGCACGGAAAGCCAAGACGACCTGCCCGAGGGGAAAACGGGGAGCGTCGGAAGAGGCGGGGAGGCAGACAGAGGCTAGGAGCTGCACAAAAGCACAGTTAATGATTCACTCACAGCCCTCAGGCAGCTCCTTCCAGTAAGGGTTGCACACACACGCAGCACGAATGCACACACACGCACACAGTCTCATCTTCAACTCTTCATCCCAGCGAGAGGCGGGTGTCAGGCAAATTGCTTGGCAACGCGCAGAGGAAACTCCATCCAAGCCCCGCGTCCAGGCAGCCTCTGGGCGCTGTCCAGCGGGCAGAACGCCTGAGGCCAGGCTGGGGTCCCGCCTCCCGACACCCCGAAGGTGAGGCGCGGCGCCAAGGCCGGGCTTTCAGGCGAGGGGAGTTCAGGGAAGCACAGTCCCCCGGGACACCTGTTGTCGCCTCCCCACTCGGGCCAATGAAGACATCCTGGGCGTCCCTAACTCGAAGACACCCGTCGATCAAAAGTGTCTGTGTATGGGGCCGGGGGTCGCAGGAGTCCTCCTCCACCCCCATCTGCCTCAGGCAGAGTCCCTTCGTCCTCTCCCACCCCGGGACGCCTGCAGCTGGTGGAAACGCCGCGCCTCCGCATGGCTCGGCGGGGCAGGCTCGGGGGCGCCAGGGGGCACCGCGGCGCTAGGACCTCGCGGCCGACCCGCCCCCCGCCCGCTCCACCTGCGGCGCCCCTCTCAGGGGGCGCGCTCGCCCTCCTGCTGCGGGGCGCCGGGTACAGTTACCTGTGCCGCGATCCGCAGGTCCCCAGCGTCCGCGGGAAGTTCGCCGCGGCAGAGCCGGCTGGTCTGGCCGCGGAAACCTCACCCGGCCGCGCTGCTTTCGCCGCCCTCCTCCCGGCCGCAGCGCCGCCACCGGCTCCAGAGTCTCGGGCTCGCTCAGCGCCCGCCGGCTCCCGGCGCCGCTCCCGCCGCTCCTAATTGGCCGCGGCGCGCTCCCGAGCCGCTCTCTGATTGGGCAGCCGGAGAGCCGGGGCGGGGGCACGGGCCGGGCGCCGCCGTGATCTGCTGGCTGAGCCTCCTGCGCCGCAGCCTCGCTTCCCCGCGATTCCCTGGGCCCCAGCCGGCAGCCGAAGCCGGGATCCTTCCCCTCTGCGCCCCCTGGGGCAGGCCGTCCAGGCACTAGGCAACGCAGAAAGCATCGACAGGGAAATGGCAGGGAATGGGGAGCGCCTTGGAGTCCCACCCGCCCCGTCTGCGGACTGACGGTTGAGACCTCCTAGGAGCGGGAATCATGCTCACCTGGCCTCACTCCCATACGTTCATGTATTGATACTGTTGACTCTACAGAGGACCTAGGCTCAGGACAGTCGCTTGTAAACAGAGGGTGCCAATTTGTTTTGTGGACTCACGTTGGACTCTACACACCACCTCCCAGTGGTCCTATCTGAGCTCTCAAAGGGAGAGGAACTTGTTTAAGGTCCTAATCACGACAACAAATAAAAACACCGTGCTAGGTGTTTTGAGGGGAAAAAGAGAAAGATGGTAAGATCTTCGATTACAGGGAAGTTCATACGTAGCTTGAGAGATGAGGCTAGATAACGATAATGACCCTAACGTTTTTATGGTGCATATTATTCACTAGACATTATTCCAAATTCTTCACATTTGTTTATTCAGAAATACAGAAAAGGCTGTCATAAGAACGTTCATACGCCCCGTGAACATGTGGATAAGTGACACTAGTTTTTAGTCTGGAGAGATTTTCGTTGGCATTGGTTAGAACCGAGAGTGCATAGGGAATTCTCATTGTTCTGTCCTCCATCTCTTCTCCCATCTGTTCTGAATCTAAGACATAAAAACAAACTATAAATCTGGGTGCCACTAGACCTTTGTTGTGTCACTCATAAAACACCGCCTCTAAACACCCAGATAGGCAATGAGTAGAAAGAAGTAAGTAAACACAGCATATATTTTAAAACCTTTGGCTTGGTTGCACTACCTTGAAAGCAAGTATGTAGCTTTCTTTCTTTCCCTCCCTTCTTTCCTTCCTTCCTTCCTTCCTTCCTTCCTCCCTCCCTCCCTCCCTCCCTCCCTTCCTTCTTTTTTCCTTTCTTTCTGATTTTCACTCTTGTTGCCCAGGCTGGAGTGCAGTGGCGCCATCTCTGCTCACCGCAACCTCTGCCTCCCAGGTTCAAGTGATTCTCCTGCCTCAGTCTACCGAACAGCTGGGATTACAGGCATGCACCACCACGCCTGGTTAATTCTGTATTTTTAGTAGAGACAGGTTTCTCCATGTTGGTCAGGTTGGTCTCGAACTCCCCACCTCAGGTGATCCACCCACCTCAGCTTCCCAAAGTGCTGGGATTACAGGCATGAGCCACTGCGCCCAGCACAGCCATTTACCCACAGACATTTCCCCCTTGTTCTATTCTCCTGTGTTGGCAGAATGCCTTGAGTCAGAAATTTGGCTTAGGAGAGAAGTAAAGACTCAAGTCTTTAACCAGTTTGACTCACTCTGAACTGTCTTGGCCCTTACCGTAGGGTGAGCTTACAGTCATTTACTTTAAGGAGCCCGAGAACCCAGGAGGAAATTACCTCTGTTTTCTCCAGTTTATATCAATGGACAAACAGTTGATTCACTTATATTGAATAGGTGGATGGGCATAGGTTGAACCTCAAGTGGGAGGAACACCAGAGCATGGCAGGGTGTGGACTGGGTTAGGAGGGTTCTTTCATGGGCATCCCTCTCCAAGCATCAGAAGCATGTGGAGACATCAGCCCACTATTCAGGTTGCTCACTTTCCATAGCTGTGGCTTTCCCTGCGGTTCCTGGGGCCCCAACCAGATTGGTCAAACTATCAACCTATTTGGATTGGTCAAACTATCACTCCAAAGAAGAAGGACTGTTTCAGCCAGAGAACCAAGCTGACCCAAGATGCTTTGTCAAACTGCTCAACCCTCATGCATTACATTAAACTCAGCCCAGGGATGACAAGTGAAAGAAGGATGGCAAATGAAGGAAGAATGACAAGTGAAAGAAGAACCTGAATTCTACTTCTGTTACCTTGGAATTTTACTAGGGAAATTTACTTGGAATTTAACTGTTCATGTCTTGGTTTGTTCTCTGTCTCTAGCAAAATGCTTCATTTAGTTCACCCCCTGTATCATATTTCTTCTCTGGTTACTGCTGCTTAATGCTCAAACTCAGCTAAAGTATCCTTTCCTCTGTGAGGCCTTCACTAATTCTCCCAGGCAGAGTTGTGAACCTCTTGCCCATCTTATATTCCAGAACATCACTAAGCAACAGCATTCTAGTGATCTGCTTAAATGGCCATCTTTTTAACTAGAAGACTGTGCATTACTTAGCAACGTATCCCCAATCAATGTATCCTCAATTAAGTAGGTGCTTAATAAACATGAAGTGACTGATTAAAACCCCTGACAGGCTAATGGGTGGTATTAAGGAGACTAGGGCCACACTCTGTCCTGGTCTTCAACAGGGTATCCTTCAGTTCCAGACTGGAAGGACATTTGGTGTGGAGCAAAGTGATCGTCCATCCAATCTAACAGTAAATAGGTAGTTTCTGTATGTCAGGCACTGTCAGGTAAAAAGAAGAATAAGCTCTTCCTTAAATGAACACAAGGTGAAGTGGTGCAGTTGATTTAGAAGACAGTTTTGCAGTTCCTCAGCAAGTTAAACATAGAGTTACCATATTAGCCAGTAATCCCATTCCTTGATATACACCCAAGAGAACTGAAAGCATATGCCTACACAAAAACTTATACACAAATGTTCATACCATCATTATTCATAATAGCTGAAGGTAGATGCCGGGCACAGCGGCTCACACCTGTAATCCCAGCACTTTGGGAGGCTGAGGTGGGTGGATCACAATGTCAGGAGTTTGAGACCAGCCTGACCAACACGGTGAAACCCCATCTTTACTAAAAATACAAAAATTAGCTGGGTGTGGCACATACCTGTAATACCAGCTACACAGGAGGCTGAGGCAGGAGAATTGCTTGAACCTGGGAGGCAGAGGTTGCGGTGAGCTGAGATCATGCCATTGCACTCCAACCTGGGCAACAAGAGTGAAATTCCATTTCACAAAGAAGAAAAAGAAAGAAAGAAAGAGAGAGAGAGAGAGAGAGAGAGAGAGGGAGGGAGGGAGGGAGGAAGGAAGAAAGAAAGGAAGGAAGGAAGGAAGGAGGGAAGGAAGGAGGGAAGGAAGGAGGGAAGGAAGGAAGGAAGGAAGGAGAAAGAAAGAAAGAGAGGAAAGAAAGAGAAAGAAAGAAAGAAAGAAAGAAAGAAAGAAAGAAAGAAAG